TCTCATCATCATTATAATGCTTTTCCTTTTTCTGCGTCTTCCTGTTTCAAAAATAGTATTCTGGGAAGGAAATCATACTTACTATGAATGACCGTTCCTTCACAAACATCTCTCTGTTTCAGGCTTCCATCTGTTCTATCTGGGCAAGCCAGGGCAGGGAGTTCTGTACCTCTTCACCTTCGGTCTCTGTGGCATTGGCTTCCTGGTAGATCTGTTCCGCATGCCGTCCCTCGTGAAGGCAGCCAACCAGTGTCCCTGTGAGCCAGATCCATTCAAGAGCACCTGCACGGCCTACATACTCGGTGCATCCCCCTTGGGTCTCCTCGGGCTTCATCACTACTACCTGGACAGACCCGTATGGGGGATACTATATACCTTCACCCTTGGGCTGCTGGGGGTGGGATGGGTGTATGACTGGTTCCGCATCCCCGTCCTCGTCAAACGCGCAAACGACATCCAGGCCATGGAGGTAGACAAGGAATGGAAACACTTGGACGACATCTACATACTGTGGTTCCCCTTCGGATGGCTCGGACTTCATCATTTCTACCTCAACAGGCCCGGATGGGGCGTGCTGTACTTCTTCACGTTTGGAGTGCTGGGTGTTGGGTGGTTGGTGGACTTCTGTCGTCTGCCTTGTTTGGTGAAGGATCACAACAAGTATCTGTCAGAACGCCGGCTCATCGCCAAGACGATCCCGTCATGGTCCGGAGGTCACGTCTCGGTCACCTCAACAGGACAGACTGTTGTTACTGTCAGCAACATGGCGCCCGGAAGTGTGATGACGACGCCTGCTGGAAGTGTAGCAGCGCCCCCCTGGTGGTATGATGCCACCTCCCTACAGCTACCAGAACATGTCATCCTACCCACCACAAGGCTATGCAGGTGCACCTGTTGCGGGGTATCCACAAGGACCAGGCTATCCCAACCAGGGCTTCTACCCCGACCTCTCCGCCCCTAATGGTAGGTCAACCTTTGTGTGTAAGGCAAACTAACTTACTCTTAAAGTACAAGCGTCAAAACACTCTCAACACTTGCAAGACATTTCTGCTAAGAACAGAGTCTATTGTACAATTTCGACTACTGTTTCGTCATGACAATCATTACATATGCTTATGAACTACTTTTAAATACAATGACACCAGGTGTTCCGGGAAAGGAACATTACAGCATATAAACTTTGAAGTAACACAATTTCATTTGTTTTTTCATTATGTCACACTTAGCGCCTTGAGCATGTATCAGTGGGTGGAAAATGGCGCGCGAAAAATATCCATTATTATTATTATTATCACATATCACGAAACCTTGAAAAGAGTCCATGAGTATTGGTTTACGCCGCTGTTAGCAATATTCCGGCAACATATTGGCCATGGACGCCAGAAATAGGCTTCATATATTGTATCTATGTGGGGAATGGAATAGTTGCATGATGAGCGCACGCTTTAACCGCTGTGCTACCCACCGCTCCTTAACACCCTGGAACATGACTAAATAGTACTGGGTATCCAGAACGTTATACATCACCAGAGAACGTTATACGATCACCAGAACGTTATACATCACCAGAACGTGTCAGGTATAGGGATGGATCAGTCCCAGCATCAATGATCACTAATCCTGTGTATATATGCGTTGTTTGTTTCAGCAGCAGGAGCGGGACAGGCAGCCGCACCAATGCCGCCGTCGTACGAGGAGTCGCTGTCGACCACAGCGAAGGTAGGGCCGCCACCGGATGTCGAAAACAGTCACCATGAGAAGAAGTGAGCGGATTGTACAGAAGGACAACCCGAGTGACAAAATCTGCAATACTGAAGCAACTGAACAAATTGTGATGATTACAGCATTGAATGGTCCAAGATTTCCAAAGAGCTTCGTACGACTCAGAGTTTAAATATGTCTATAATAGACAAATGGAGAACATTTACAAAGTCCAAATAGTAAAATCGACTCTATTTTCGGGAGAAATTTCTTTCGAATATCAAAAGCAATTCTGTTGTTTTAGTTATATGAGAACAAAATAGCTTTGGATCAATGACACATTTGGGTAATTTGTAGAAATGATGCATAAAGAGTTTTGAATCAATATTGTTTGATATTTTGATTCGAATGTGATGAATCGAAAGTTCCATATGTAGTACCCATGGTCAGATCCATAAACATGTCATTTACCAAGAACTGTTTACCATTTATATGTTTGTCTTGTTATACAAGGCTTTGAGAGGCGGGTCCTTTCTTGTCATTTTCATTGTTTTCATCAAGGGTGACGTCATATCATGTTGCTACGTCATAATGACGTCACATCTCTCGTATTATATTTCATCATCATTGTATTGTTGAAGAACTTGTAAATAAATAATTAATTTGTAGGTTTGGTTTGATAACATTGAATGTAACTTTTATTCCCCAATGTGGATAATTAGTTTGTGAATCTGTCCTATGTGTTCCTATAACTTGGTTGGTTGGTCGGGTTGTTTGTTGTTTTACGCCGCACTCAGCAATATTCCAGCTTTATAGAGGTGGTGTGTAAATAATCGAGTCTGGGCCAGACAATCCAGTAATCAACAGCATGAGCATCGATCCTCACTATTGGGATACGATGACATGTGTCAACCAAGTCAGCGAGCCTGACCACCCGAACCCAATTGTCGCCTTTTACGACATGCATGGGTTAATGAAGACTAATTCTAACCTGCATCTTAAGAGTGTCCCATAACTGTGAACATTATGTCAGCATTCCAAACAATGACTCCATGGCAGTGATTTACGACTTGAATTTGGCCAGAAACACAACACTTAGGCGTAGAGGTGCAAACTATTTAGGTCAGTAGTACCGAGTTTAGTGACATACCGCTTTTAGTAATATTCCAGCAATATCACGGCGGGGGACACCAGTAATGGGCTTCACATTGCACATTTTACACATGTGGGGAATCGAACCCGGGTTCCTTGGTTAAAACGAGCCAACGGCTTAACCACAATCTACGCCACCGGCTCAAACTATTTCACTTTGTAATGTTTCAGGTGCTAAGGCATTTGCGATAACCTGGCGATTCTTAATAATAAAATTCTAAAGCGAAAACGTATGGTATTTACAATAGTTTTATCAAAACAGTTACATAAATGAAAACGGACAAATCTTGAGATTCAAAAACATTCGAGGCGAAAGAATACACATTGTGGCATGCAGTGAATGACGGGATTGTTAATGTGGCATGCAGTGAATGACGGGATTGTTAATGTGGCATGCAGTGAATGACGGGATTGTTAATGTGGCATGCAGTGAATGACGGGATTGTCAAATTTATGCACACAACTTGACGCACCCTCAAATTCAGCAGCCAATCAATAACAAGGAAATCAAAACAAAGTTTCGGGAGCCTGTCAATCACAACTAGGAGACGAGATAAAATTCCAGTTGTCGGACTCTGTCAATCTGGAGTACATACACTAACCTCCAAATTTACGTTCCAAGCGAGCAACAAAACCAAAGTGTGCGACAACGCCCTGCCCGTGTGTTGTGTCATTTCTGGTTTTATTCCTGAATATCACAATCATACGTTTACAGAGAAGACACAATCCCTCCATGGAAAGTGGGATTCCATGATGGTAAATTTTATAGTATAAACTGCAGTTATGAGTGTTCGGCAGATTTTATGTGCTCATCAGCAAGGTTTTTATCTAATATTTTAGTGGTATTCAAAAATAGAAAAAAAATATTAACTCCCTTTGAGTGAGTGAGTGAGTGAGTTTGGTTTTACGCCGCTTTTAGCAATATTCCAGCAATATCACGGCGGGGGACACCAGAAATGGGCTTCACTCATTAAACCCATGTGGGGATTCGAACCCGAGTCTTCGGTGTGACGAGCCAAAGCTTTAACCACTAGGCTACCCCACCACCCAACTCCATTTGACTTAAGCGGAAGTGGCTGTACATGTGCTTTGATAATGTCACTCGAAGTGTAACGACCAACCAGAAAAGTATTGAAGTTTTTACCCCTACTGGATGCCTCTTTCGTTCACGAGTCAAGTATCAACAGTAAACGTCGTCCACGTGGCCACATTTGTTACATTCATTGCGAAATGAACCAAATAACACGTGACCGATTCAGCCAATTGAACACATGCATGATAATGAATACATTGCAAATAGATTTCTACCATCTAACATTTGCATACATTCAGAAACCAGAAATGACTACGCTTATCCAATTATTATATTTCAATAAAACATGCACATTTGTAAATATCATATCACCACAGCATTCTGACACTGTAACACGGACACCATATACCCTATAGCAAGTTTTATAGTGTACGTTTTGTCATTTGTTTGAAAACATCTATGCCATATTCACTTGTGATATTTATGTTTCCATAGATCACTGTGATCGTAGAATTTATCATGTAATCAAAGCAACTGTCCGTGATAAAAGCTTACGACGTGAAAACAATTATGTCATACCTCAGTGATATACGTATGCTGACCATATGTTATGTTTGGGATTACACTAACGGCAGAGCAGTCTAGGCGTCTGACTTTGTGTGCTGGCGATTAGGTGCCTGACTCTGAGGGTGTGGGTTCGCATCCCGGATAGGACTCAACCCAACAAAAGTACTAAAATCTGAACTTATAAAGAAAGTGTAATCCCAAATATAACATATGTTACATTTGACCACTTTCTAAATGGCATTGTGTATTTCGTATGCTGACCAGATATCCAAATTACATGAGAGGAAGTGGGAGTTTTCTGTGAGTGTGCGTGCTTTCGAAAGCTAAATATCAGCAAAATTATACCGGAGATTTGACACCGAATCATCACTTTGATATACATGTATATTAAAGTTTAAGCAATTTTGCAAAGGTCTGTCAAAGTATTTCCATGAAATAATAACCCGATGAACGTTTTCTTCAAGTGCTAAAAAGAAGCTGACAATTTAGTTGGGACCTTCGGGCTCAGGGAACATAACCAAACATCGAGGGTACATCAACCCATGCCCCCCTCGTGACCAGTGAACAACTTATAATGTATATATCACCCAAAATTACTTCTCATGTACCACTTGTTTGGCAACGACATTAGGATCTATGTCGAAACGTCGCATATACAGAATAAAGAAATTGTATATCCATAAACATTGTCCTCATTCTTCATCTCTTCAACTTCTAAAATGCCAATCAAAGAAGACATCAATGTGTGCTGAAATACCGAAATGTAGAACTGACGGGTTCTCATAGTGCTGAAAAAACTCTCTTTTTCAGTAAAACCATGGCAGTGAAATATATTGTTAATGTCATCGGCTGGGAGACTATTCTACACACTTGACTTTATCTTTGATTTCTTTGGTTTCTTTGTGTCTGGAATATAGATGGTAGTGTTCTTCAGTCTCCATTCCGTGGCATTCTTGTAGTATTCCTCTATAGTCTCCCCTGGGTAAGGCCGACGTCGACGTTTCTGGGGGATTTGAAACGTCTCTTCTCGGAACAGATCTCTGAGTTCCTTGTATTTGACCGTCCGACCGAACACAGTGATCTGGTAGAGGAACAAGTCCAGTGTCCTCATCAGCTCTGGTTTCACATAGTGGAAGCTTATAGTCAGCTGTGAGCAGCACTCTGGACCCTGCGTCGAAAACAGAATTAACTCAGCAACCCAACTGCATATTACATAGTTTTCTTTATTATTTTTATTGGGCCCAGCAATTTGATAAAATACCGATTGCACGATAACCCAAATCAGCTCATCACCAAATCCCACTTTTCTGTCTGCTTCATCTAGGAGAGGCATTATGCACACACAGAATCCACACAGGGCCACTTACGTAATTAGAGAATAACCAACGAGGTACGAGTGGTTATGGGAAATATGTCCCGAGTGAAATTAATGTTCACTGTCCCGAACTTTAGCGATATCATTTCCGGCAGAACTTTTAGTCTAAACCCTGCTTCTTCCATTTCACCATGTTCAGTGTTGATCACATTCACGTGAAGGGAATTTAGTGGTTGTATAATTCTCGTTACACGTCCAGTAATGTATCCGTCCACCTTGACCAGGTCATTGACGTTGATTGACGTTAGCTGGGTAGCCATGTTTGTTAATAAAATACGATTAGACATTTCTTTTACTATAAATCATGTTGTTCAGTAAACGACGCCATATTCTTCACGAAGTAGGAAATGAAGCATTAAATAAGCATCAAAATCCAAATCCTGTATGTTTTTGTTCTATTTTAAAATCTCGAAACAGTGCGATTACAGCACGGTCAATTCATCAATAAATCGATGAAATATTATGAATGAACGTAGTGGTGTGAAAGTAGCTCCTACATCCAATGATTATGTACATATATACGATCGACCAATCAATGTCGAGAATCACTAAATTGCACACTGTGCAAATTTCAGAAATATATTACACGAGATCACCCGTATGGATAATAATGCAATGTAATTGCTTTCATCTTTAACTGCTAAAATAAATTCATAAGAATGCGTATTGTCCACCGCTGCCATTGTCCAATGACCATTGCCCCAGCAATTTCAAACTATACTGAAGAGCCCAGCAGCCAGTAAATCCTGCATGTATATTCTCTGACTCAATGACAAAAAAACCATGCAATTTACACGTACAATCCGCTTGATTTCATTTGAGACCTTTGAATAGCTCACTAACACAAATGTATTAACTGCAACAAAACCAAACTTGGCACAGTCACAATCGCGGACCAATTCTGATGATTTGTCTCATACTTTTAGACACCCGAACACAAAAACTTATTTAACAAACGATCATTATTTTGTTGTAACTTTTCGCTATTTTGTACGAGAGGGGCCCCTCCTGGTAGAACAGCCAGGTGTGCGAGTTGCACGTGTGAAACTGAAATTTCACTACACACGCTGGTTGATGACCTGGATTTTCTACCAGTAAGTGGTCACCCCTCGTAAAGGTAGAGGTAAGTGACAACAAAATAATGATCCTTTGTTAAACACCTTTTTTGGACTGTAAGGGTTTAGATAAAGCGAGTGAGGTGGGTGTAACCGTGTTATGTATGCCAGACATAGAAGTGCGAAATAATTATGGCCAAAACGTCTAGCGTCTAATTATATTAAACGAGTTAATGATTCGGTATCAATGCGAGTTTGATAGTAAATCTTTCACGAGTTTAATATAAATGGTATTTAACGGAAGAGAGTTTGGTATTCTGTTTTTATTCTCCAAACTAAATTGATAGAAACTGCCTTCAGTGTGATGACTCTCATATAAATCTTCTGCGAGTGAAGCAAGGTCTAATGCCATTACGACAGAGGCATTATCATTGTGACGTCATAACTGCAACGATTCTGACGTCACATGTCTAGCGGTATTACACTAGTGTAATATTGCCGCAAAAATATTATAAGGGTAATGCTATTTTTGAGGGCATTATCATTTGCAGAAGCCCGAGGTCTTCCATTAACCTTCCATTGATAAAGACCGAGGGCTTCTGCAAATGATAATGCCCTCAAAAATAGCATTACCGTTATTATTGCTAAAATACATGGAATTTGTGTCGAAAAGAAAAAGGAAACAATGAAGCAATTTGACTGTAACTTTACCCAAACCAACTTCTGACGGGCTTGACTGCCCGAATGCAATTACGTCATCGAACAATTCAAGTGACGTCACAACAGAAAGTGACGATATTAAACCTTGGCCTTTGACAAGACCATAGCCTGCAACATGTCAAGCTATGACAGTGTTCGGTTTTGGTCCATCAACAGTCTTAATAGTGCAATTGTTAAGGTTAGCACCAACAAGAAAGACAATATTACCGCTATTTAAAGCGGGAATTCGTGTTGCTTTGACTTGTTTGACCCAGAATATCAGCCAGTCGAAAGCCACTAATGTCGAACTATGACGTCACTTGACAACAGAACTGATAGTGGCCCGTCGTTAAGGTTGAGCGGTCCAATATCATTTGCAGCGGACCGCAAATTTCTGATAACAGGAGGGCCGTTTCATGATAATTCCATGTATTTTAGCTATAATACACTGTAGTATCTGCCACGGACGAGTAATAAAAGCATGTTCATATTTCCTGCAATGAGGCAATTCGGCCATCTTGCATTGTTACATGTGAAACTAGGAACTGAAAAATTTAAAACTATACCTCAAGAGCGGGAAAATAGCTTGATTGTAGGAAACGAAATGGGATTTAATAAAAGAAAATAATGTCAACCAGAACAGAGAGAGGATAAGCTAGAATAACAGAACCTTGCCCACCATAACAGAGTAACGTCAAGCCACATTGATCATTCACCGAACAAGAACAAGAACATCAGCTTACCGAGTGGTATTTATGGGCGGAGAAACCGGCAACAAAGTTGGCCTGACCAACTTGGAAGGTCTCCGGAGCTGCAGCGTGAAAGGTTGATCTGCTGTACTTGTCTAGTGATAGATATGTGGATACTGCCACCTTGTACATACATCGCCCTGTCTCGATGTCCTCACTTCCGCCCGCGTGACGACACCTACCAGATACCCTGTAGCCCTGCTCTACCAACCGACGTAGAGCCTCCCTACTGACAGCGTATCCTGCCCCACCACCCATGTACCCATTAGGTGAGAAGGGTGTAAAATGGTCTCCAACGTACACGGGTTTGCTGGAGTTGAGATGAGCCAAGAGAAATTTAAGATTTTCCACAATGACATAAGTATCATCATCAGCCTTTAGGAACCAGTCATACTGGTCTAGTGATGTTGTGTACATGTGTGTGAAGGCAAGGACGATTTTCTCAGTTAGGGTTCCATGGGCGTCGCGTATGTTCACTCCTAAAATGTCGGGCCCTGTTTTGTTGGTGGTCATGACATACAGCATCTTGTCACATCTTCTGCCCCACGTCTCGTTCACGGCTTTCAGCTTCGTCTCCATGTTCTTCTCCCTGGTGGTGATGAAGCAGGCCAGTCGGACCTTCCTGGACAGAGCTTCAGCCAGGGAACTGTCCACGGCTACTGCAACGGGACAACAGTAGGCTGTTAGGACAATTCTTGCAACAGGACAATAGTAGGGTGTTATGACAATTATTGCAAGAGGACAACAGTAGGGTGTTATGACAATTATTGCAACAGGACAACAGTAGGGTGTTAGGACAATTATTGCAACAGGACAACAGTAGGGTGTTATGACAATTATTGCAAGAGGACAACAGTAGGGTGTTATTACAATTCTTGCAAGAGGACAATAGTAGGGTGTTATGACAATTCTTGCAACAGGACAACAGTAGGGAGTAATGACAATTATTGCAAGAGGACAACAGTAGGGTGTTATGACAATTCTTGCAACTGGACAAAAGTAGGGTTTTAGGACAATTATTGCAAGAGGACAACAGTAGGGTGTTATGACAATTATTGCAAGAGGACAACAGTAGGGTGTTATGACAATTATTGGAACAGGACAACAGTAGGGTGTTATGACAATTAGTGCAAGAGGACAACAGTAGGGTGTTATGACAATTATTGCAAGAGGACAACAGTAGGGTGTTATGACAATTATTGCAAGAGGACAACAGTAGGGTGTTATGACAATTAGTGCAAGAGGACAACAGTAGGGTGTTATGACAATTATTGCAAGAGGACAACAGTAGGGTGTTATGACAATTATTGCAAGAGGACAACAGTAGGGTGTTATGACAATAATTGCAAGGGGGCAACAGTAGGGTGTTATGACAATTATTGCAAGAGGACAACAGTAGGGTGTTATGACAATTATTGGAACAGGACAACAGTAGGGTTTTAGGACAATTATAGCAACAGGACAACAGTAGGGTTTTAGGACAATTATTGAACCAGGGCAACAGTAGGGTGCTAGGACAATTATTGCAACAGGACAACAGTAGGGTGTTATGACAATTAGTGCAAGAGGACAACAGTAGGGTGTTATGACAATTATTGCAAGAGGACAACAGTAGGGTGTTATGACAATTATTGCAAGAGGACAACAGTAGGGTGTTATGACAATAATTGCAAGGGGGCAACAGTAGGGTGTTATGACAATTATTGCAAGAGGACAACAGTAGGGTGTTATGACAATTAGTGCAAGGGGACAACAATGGAGTGTTAAGACAGTTATCACAATAGGAACTAGAATAGGCTGTTACATAACTACAACAGCGTACTGCATCATTTGTAGGGTCCTATAAACTTCTAGTGACGTCACACCATTGTTCATTTGGGTTCCTCGTTTATAGAGTAAACCTCTGCAGTATGTTTCCCGGGCATTCTCTGGGAAATCACAGGTATTTCTTGAGGAATTACCGGGGCTTTCCTGAGGAATAACCCTTACCTTAAGTTTTGATTATTTTACTTGTAAAGTTTTGAAGATTGCTAACTTTGTCTTGCTATTACATAATACGATCGTAGCATATCACAATGTTGAAAACTTCCAATATATTATATTGATGCCTCGTTTGGCTACTGTAACCCTTCGCTTACGTGCTTGGCTGTTTATCTGCTATCTCTATGAGATTTTTGCAGTATTTATGTCTCAAAAATATAAAAGTTGTTAACAAACTATCATTAAAATATTATCAAAGTTCACTATTTGTTACGAGGGTTACGGGGTAGGAGTGATAATATTTTCATGACTACAAACCCAGCGTACAATTTTGACACATTAATGGTTTTGATCAAGGTGAATTTTCTACAACAATTTAATGAGCCTAAAGCCCTGCTGGAGTAGGAAATAGTTTGTTTGGTTTTTTGTTGGTTTTTTAAATCAACGAAAGATTATATTACTCTGCATGTTAACAGAATGTTCACGAGCAACTCATCCCTAGATACCCAGGGTTACCCAACCATTGCTTACTGAAATAGTTGTAGTCAGTTGAATGGTTTTGCATGATGTCAAAACCTGATCCATGGTAATCTTTGAGAAGTAGATGATTGTTGTATATCTACCACATCTAGGATTTTCTCAACAGTAGTAAAGCTTCAATGACTGAAAGCACAATCCTATTCTCCATTCGTCTGGATATAATGCTATATTTTGTAAAGTCACTTTCTAACAGACCAAAGGTGCCGACTGTATTGTATCATTGGATCTTTCTAGCAGATTATGAAATAAAGATGATGTGATATCTGTGAATTTCAACTCACATGTGAAATCTTGGTTGTTCCTTTCTCCGATTGTGACGTCATCCTTGCCCTTTAGAAACAGGTCAAGGCCGTCTTCCGTCAGGCGGATGTCGTCTTCATCAGCGCCATGATGAAATACGTTCCCAATAATCGATTCGTGTAGATGGGTCAAATCTCTTGAAAAACCTGTTGCTGAGTAATGACCTGGAAATATATTCATGAAAAACTCATTCATAACCAATAACGAAAAACCAAAGTACGATGTACAGCATTTGACCTGTTCTCCCAGATACAGATAGTGATTCTATTTTCAGTGATTACTTTCATTCTAACATTGAAACAATTCGTTCTGAGTTGGACCGTGCATCAACTAACTGCGAAGTGGAATGTCATGAATTCCGAGTCGAGGCCCTCTTGTCATTCTCTCCTCTGGTAGTAGAGAGGTTCTTACTATAATCAGACAGTCAAAACCAACATATAATGACCTGGATCCGATCCCAACAAACTACTATTGGAACATTTGGCTATACTGCTTCCAGTCATTACCCAGCTTATCAATATGAGACTGGAGACTGGAGTAGTCCCTCCATCTCTGAAAAAGGCTATCACCAAGCCTACACTGAAATCACCAAGCCTACACTGAATTCACCAAGCCTACACTGAAATCACCAAGCCTACACTGAAATCGCCAAGCCTACACCGAAATCACCAATCCTACACTGAAATCACAAGCCTACACTGAAATCACCAAGCCTACACTGAAATCACCAAGCCTACACTTAAATCACCAAGCCTACACTGAAATCATCAAGCCTACACTGAAATCACCAAGTCTACACTGAAGAAACACAACACAACTACAGGCCTATTTCAAATCTGCTATTTCCAGCAAAGTTTCTTGAAAAGTAAACTCGCGCTTTTAAGATCACCTAGAAGTAAACATGTTTTGTCAAACAGAGTACTGAAACTGCCTAACTGTGTGTGTTAAACAGTCAACAGAGTACTGAAACTGCCTAACTGTGTGTGTTAAACAGTCAACAGAGTACAGAAACTGCCTAACTGTGTGTGTTAAACAGTTGACAGAGTACTGAAACTGCCTAACTGTGAGTGTTAAACAGTTGACAGAGTACTGTCAACTGCGGAACTCGACACCGTGGATCTCTCAAAGCTCTTACAGAGTCTCAAATTGGAATTTGGCTTAAATGATGTTGCTCAAGATTGGATGGAATCCTTCCTGTCAGCGTTACGATATGGCTCAAATATTGCCGATGTGACTTTAAATCTTCAATCACTCACTTACCTGTCAGCAGATGTGGAACAGTTACAGTGCACCAATCAAGATCACAAAGTCGAGATATCAACTCTTGTGCACCACAAGGATCAGTCCTTGGACCCAATCTTTTTTCATTGTACACAACACAGCTCGGTAAAGAGACGTTGACCATCACCTGTTTGCTGATGATGTCCAGCTCTCAGAAAGCTTTGTTGTTCAAGGCTACATACTAACCCTGAACAAGATTGAGAACTGCACAGAGCAGATACGGTCTTGGATGACATCAAACAAGCTGAAGCTAAACAAGCGCAAGACTGATGCAATATTAGTTGGAACTGGTGCATGCTGGCCAAGGTGGAAGAAACACACCTTCAGTTGACCAAGAAAGCATTCCCTTCGTGCCTGAAGTAAAGAATCTTGGTGTTCTCGTGGATTCTAATCTTAGCATGGATGAACAAGTACAACAACTTTGCAGGATACGCCATTTCCATCTCAGGAATATCCACACCATCAGAAACCAGACAGCCAATGATGCTGTAGCAGATCCTATTTTCTAGGCTAGACAACTGCAATGGTTTATTATCTGGAATATCTCGAGAATCCATTTCAAAACTTCAACGCCTACAGAACACTGCAGCACGCATGGTGACTCTTACACCTAGGTTCTCCCACATACAGCCTGTTCTAAAGACTCCACATTGGTTGCCTGTTAAAGCCAGGATAGAATTCAAAGTACTAACACTGACATAGATTTCTATATGGTAGAGCGTCACCGTACCTTTGTTAAGCAATATCATCTTACCGGAACACTAAGATCCGAAACCCTTTGGAATTCCCTTGTAAAAGAGCTGAAAAGAGCACCGAGTTATGATGTTTTCAAGTCAGACCCAAAGACTCTGCGCTTCAAGAAATACTATGAACACTGGACTGTCCAAATCTGTAGCGCTATGAGCATACCTTCTGACGTGGAGTTTAGCGCACTAAGATATGGACTCATTATTATAACCTAACAAACAAAAGACCCCAAACGCGATACAGAATGGGCCCTTTATGGGCCCTTATGTAATTCGGTGTTCTTTTGAGACGTTTTCCGTCCTTGTCAAGGCTAACTGAGCAGTAAGAATATGGTAATAAAGAATTCCCTTGTGTTGTCTGCTCGGACATGTAAATGTATGGACTGGTCAGTGTTGTACTTACGTGACTGTGTCATGACCATGATGATGATGAAGATGATGGCACTGCAGAGGGAGATGAACAAGATAAAGTACCTCCTCACACTGTACATTTTGGCGTTGTTTAGCCACCTGTAATACAAAACACATCTGCATGATGCTGTAATGAGGATCGACATACGAGCACACGGCTCCATCACAGTTCCTGTAACTGTCACCACTATTCCGCTATTGCTCAATGACATCATTGCTCAATTACAGTAAAATCATCACTTTACAAATTTCAAAACATGATCATCCACACAGTGTTTGGTAAAACCACACAACCCTATTAAAGCCACTTAGTCAGAGTAAAATGTCAGTATCTGGTGTGACCACCATGACTATCGTTATGACAGCTTGGCAGCGGTGACCCATAGAAGAAAGGAGAGGCCGAATGCTGTCTTGAGGAATGTTTTGATGCTCTTGCTGAAGTGCTGTGTGCAGTTCTTGTAGTGTCTGAGGTGGTGGATCTGTGGTGGACCAAGAGTCCCCACAGATGTTCAGGGACAAACAGGGTGATCGAAAAGGCCAAGGTAACAACTGAACCGTTGTTTTGCTGGAGGAAGTCCTGTCAAACACGTGCAACGTGAGGTGGAGCATTGTCATGCTCCAAAGATCAACAGTTGACTTTGATGAAGGGAACGACGTGACGTTGAACTGGTCTTCTGGCAACAAGACTGGCTAATCATAGCCAATTGTGCACTGTCTGGTCGGAGATTCGGCGCATTCCAGGGATTTGGATTGCTGTGGATGATGCGGCCGTGGTGTTTGAACGATGAACGTGGTGAAGATCAACGTCTAAACCGGATGTTGCGATCCTGGGCGGCAACTGGGATGGTAACTCTGGGTCGACTTGACCTGGGTCTGTCATTAATACTCCCAGTATTTTTGTATCGGGTCCATAGGTCTGAGATGGTCTGTCTGGACAAGTTGATGTGCCTAGTCACCTCATGCTGTGATGCCCGTCCTTGTAAACAGCCGTTGGCGTTGTGTCGTTGAACCTGTGTCAGTCTTTTTCATTCTCATGCAGTGTTGCTTAGAGAAATGCATGTTGAGTACCATTGATGTGTCTTTTTAAAGCCTACAGTCATAGCCTTCAGCTCAGGGTGATACACAATTTAATGATGTACGTGCATTTCATGTAGGGTGCGTTTTAGCAATTCACTACAGACTTGAGTGTAACATTAGGTTTTTGTTCTATGGTTGTTTACTTTTTCAAACGTCATGTTGGGATTCAGTATGTGTCGCGCCTGTTACACGTGTTGTGCCTGTTACATGTGTCGCGCCTGTTACATGTGTTGTGCCTGTTACATGTGCTGTGCCTGTTACTCGTGTTGTGCCTGTTACATGTGTTGCCTGTTGAATGTGTCGCACCTGTTACATGTGTTGTGCCTGTTACATATGTTGTGCCTGTTACATGTGTTGTGCCTGTTACTCATGCTGTACAGGTATATGACATGTGCGATAGAAGACAAACATGTCAAACAGGATTCGTAAAGATAGACGGCAATGATAACAGTCAGTTTATAGATTATATTGCACATTATTTAGCTCCACGATGCACTCTCCAGACGCCATGAAAACAAAGCGTGAGAACACCAGGTGCAACAATACCTGAACGTTTCGTTCCAAGTTAGATTGTATTTCGAAGGTATTTTAGATTGAGACATGAGTGAGTGAGTGAGTGAGTGAGTGAGTGAGTGAGCGTGGGTGGGTGAGTCAGTGAGTGCGTGAGTGACCCCAACGCCTCCAGGATTCGGTGCAGATATGTGTCCAGCCTGTCAGAATACATTGTGTAGTTAGCATTGAGAAGAGGTATGATGTGAAACGTGGGCAAGGTTCATCAGAGTGTGTTCAATATATACTAAGCGGCAAAAGAAATGTCAGTTGGAATTTTCCTTCCCAGAAACCGATAACTGTAAACTCATTTAATGTTTTGATTGTATATTTTTGATAACATCTAAAACTTTACCTGAGCAAAGACATTCCTTCCAAAACTCAGAATGGAACCCAGGAAATGGTCTCAAAAGCGCAACCTGATCTGGGAGATTGTACGGTGTTCTCTATGTTTTTCATGCAACTTATGCTGCCGTGCTGTTCACAAGGTCCATTCCCTATAAAATGCACCCCCAAACCTGGTTGAAACATTCAAATTACAACGTCAGCAGGATGCCGCGACTCACAAAAGCTCAGAGAAACCAGGCGCTTGGAAGACTTGAAGCTGGCCACACTGCACAAGCCGTTGCCAATCACTTCCAGGTCAACGTTCGGACGATCTACAGGCTGCAGCAACGTTTCCGGGCCACCAACACCACAAATGATCTCCCCCGTACTGGCAGACAAAGGGTGACCACAAGACGACAAGACCGCCATGATGTGCGACAGCATGTTCAGAACCCCTTCATGCAGGCATCCGAAACAGCACGCCAGACAGTGGGAACACACTGAAGTCCAATCAGTACTGATACAGTACGCCGACGTCTTAACCTCCAGTGCCGTCGACCTTACCATGGATCTATCCTCACCCCTCGTCATTGGCGTGAACGTCTACAGTTTGCCCTACAACACCAAAACTGGCGATACAGGCAATGGAGAACTGTTCTGTTCACAGATGAGAGTCGGTACTGCGTATGAACTGCAGATGACAGAACAAGAATATGGCATCGACGTGACCAGCGTTACTCAGACCAATTTGTTATTGAAAGAGACTCATGGGGAGGTGCAAGCATCATGGTATGGGTTGGAATAGACCTGAACCAGAGAGGGGGTCCTGTGGTGTTACAGAACCTTGGGTCAGGGAGAGGAGGCGGCATCACAGCAGTGCGCTACATCGACCAAGCTCTCAGACCCCACGTCATACCACATTTCGCACGTCAACGGAACAACATTTTCCAGCATGATAACGCCCGGGTCCATACTGCCAGAGCTACACGGGACTTCCTACTGCAGAACGGTGTCAACATTATGCAGTGGCCAGTCCTTAGTTCCGATTTAAACCCAACTGAACATCTTTGGGATGAAATTCAGAGGAGACCGAATAATGTCATACCAAGGCCGAACACAGCCGATTTAATGCGCCATGGCCTTTCTTAGAGTGTGGTTGAAGGTGCCAATGGCCTTCATCAATCGATTGGTGCTCTCCATGCATAGACGCTGTGCTACAGTTATTGCCGCTCGTGGTGGTCAGACTAGATATTGAAGTGAAGGGTCTGAAAGGACTGCACACGTTTACGTAATGTCTTGGAATTGTGCTGAGTTATTCATTGATGTCAAGATATTGTACACAAAAAATGTTTTTGATCCCTTTATACAATCCATGTCTGTAATAATTTGATTATAGTGCTTATCTTATTTTTCATTCGTACTGACGTTTATTTTGGTGCTGAGTATATTTACGCCAGCACTAAAAAGAAATCTGGCTCAAGTATCTGTGGAAATTAATTGTGTCTATGCGCAATTTGGTGATGGAATTTTTCGGAGTCGTTCACCTTAAATATATTAAATGGCAGGCATGTTCATTTGTTATAACATAGCTTTGTTGGTTCCCTGACACCAAAGCATCTCATAGTACAACCAACAGTACAACAAATACTGCAGCCTACTAGTACAACCAATAGTACAACCTATTCCTACAACTAACACTGCAGCCTGCAAGTACAACCAATACTAAAACCTATTACTACAACCAACACTGTAGCCTACAAGCACAACCAATTGTACAACCTATTACTACAACCAACACTGTAGCCTACAAGTACAACCAATAGTACAACATATTACTACAACCAACACAGCAGGCTACAAGTACAACAAATAGTGCAACTTATTACCACAACCAACACTGCAGGCTACAAGTACAACCAATAGTGCAACCTATTACTACAACCAATACTGCAGCCTACAAGTACAACCAATAGTACAACCGATTACCAGAACCAACACTGCAGGCTACAAGTACAACCAATATTACAACCTATTACTACAACCAACACTGCAGCCTACAAGCACAACCAATTGTACAACCTATTACCACAACCAACACTGCAGGCTACAAGTACAACCAATAGTACAACCTATTACTACAACCAATAATGCAGCCTGCAAGTACAAGCAATAGTACAACCTATTACTACAATCAAAACTGCAGCCTATAAGTACAACCAATAGTACAACCTATTACTACAACCAACACTGCAGCCTACTATTACAACCAATAGTACAACCATATGACAGCTTCCTGAAATCATTCTAAAATCTGGATGTTACACCACATCTAGTGTGACCGTCAGCTCGCGTGTTAGGGAACAAGGGAGGAGTATTACAAATATCGTAGTATGGGACAGTATGGGTTTTGTTTCAGGTTGAAACTGGGTATCGCTTCCGGCAAAGCTGTGTGACTCTTGCTATCTGCTAATCATCATTGCAAGCATGGCTGCTTGTTAAGGCCTTCAAGCTTCGACTCCAGTCGGAAAACAAGACGATATTCGTCGCGTGGTGTTTTATTTTATCATATTCCCTTAGCAGCAGGATATGTGTATATGCGTCAACAAAGACAATCAATATATCTTGTTTGCCGTCATCGCCGGAAGAAATGAAGGAGACATGGTAGATAGCGTGTGTCATTAGGAACATGAAATACAGACCCGTGAAGGTCCGGGTTAGAATGAACCTTCAGTACCCCATGCTTGTCGTAAGAGGCGACTAACGGGATTGGGTGGTCAGGCTCGCTGGGTTGGTTGACACATGTTATCGGTTCCAAATTGGGCAGATCGATGCTCATGCTGTTGATCACTGGATTGTCTGGTCCAGACTCGATTAATTACAGACCGCCGCCATATAGCTGGGATATTGCTGAGTGCGGCGTAAAACTAAACTCATTCACTCATGATATACAGCGTTGTCCTGACACAGGCATTGTCAGGGACGAGAGTGGAAATCTCAGAGGCATAACGTCCTGGGAAATTTAAGTAAACAGTTATGTCAGAACTTCTTCTTTTAAACAGTAGACATACCTGCATGTGATATCATCCCTGTTCTCAAGTACATTTGTAGAAAACCCATGAAACCAAGT